ACTAATCCTTTTAGATATTAATTTAATGTAATATTTTCTTGTGTGTGTGTGTGTGTATTTGAGTGTCTGTGTATATGTATTTAGCTTGAAGATATTTATCTTTATTACAAATTGTTGTCTGCACACAGGTGAGTTAAATGTAATAATCTTTTACTAATAATTTTAGTTTTTCTTAGCCAATAATTTTAAGCTTTACAAGTTTTTGCTGATTTTATGTTGTTAAATTTGATTAAAAATTTTTGGAGAAGCTGATTGAGAGGAAGCCTTTTTATATTGGTTTATAAAGTTGTAAAAATTTGGTAATTGAAAGCAACCTTAAAGCATTTGGTTTACACACTTAGATTTATTTAATTTAGAAAAAAGTGTGAGAAATACACTTTCAACATATTATTATTATGATATTAATATTTATCACAATAATCCATTTTCAATACTTTTAAAATTCTACAATATGGTAACATTACATGGCATCTTTAAAGGAAAAGTATTAGTATCATTAGACGTTGGGCTGCAGATAAAAAGAAATGGAAACAAAAACTAAATCTATATCGCTCATTTACTTCAAGATTGACATATCTCAAAAATTTCGAAAAAAAACGCATTTTACTTACATTTATTTCTAAAATGACTTTTAAAGAAATTGATTTCAAAAACAAATCCGATTTAAATACATTCATAGTAGATGTAAATATGTTGCCTTTGGGGGTGCACGTGGTAGCTGTGTTTTGAACCCAAATTCGCGGGAAGAGAGTTGAGTTGGTGTCAAGTGTATAAGATACGGTATAGATGTAAGCGTATGCTGACCTTACCCACCCGTATACCAAGAGTGAGTTTGTTTTTCCCAATGAGTGTGTCGGATGAATGAGAAGTGTGTTAAATAGTGATGGATGTAAGTTATCTTGTACAAATGATACCATTGAATTTTCCTTCCCTGTCCGGGTATGTTTCACTCCGTTTACTCTGTTCATACCAGTTTTACCACAGTGTATTCTCACAAGCACTCCGCTCATTTGATGGATTCGTGTTTCAGTCTACCGATTACGTCTCTAGGTGCTGCTGCCGACTCAACAGAGGCCATCCCATCTGATATTTTGCATCTCTGAGTTAAGCAAAGGGGCAGCAATGGTCAGAGATTAGATAGCTCGAGTACTTGAGCAAAGTGCTTATACATGGACCGGCAGAACCATGTACAAAAATTGCCACCGGCGTGTAAGATACACATAAGGTGGTCAAAACAAGCTCCGTGAAATTAGGCCTTCAAGACAAGTGTTCACGTAAAACACCTCGACATCTTGTATCATCATACGAAAATTAAAGAGTAATTATGATCAATTATGAACCGTTAGGGCGTATGAGCGTTTAGGTCATTTTGTGATCACTGAATCCAATATAGACCAAATGTTATAAAATTTTCCAAAGAGATCTATGTTATTATAAAACATGTTTAGGCCGAAATTTATTATTGTACTATTATCTTAAACCTAGTTATGAGCGATCGTTTTCGTAAGAGAACTATGGGAGGTATGGTCGTATGAAACTTGTTTATGTCGAATTTCAACGCTATACTCGTAGTTTTAACACAATTATTACTTTTAATCTAGCTCTTTCCGTTCGGAATCGTGCTTTCAACAGAAAAACATCTACTATCATAATTGTAGATAATTTGCTTATAACAAATTTAAATTTATCCACATAACGAAGAACATCGCTTATATATACACGTATTTATAATATTTGCCATAAATAAAATTTATAAATACCTAAACAATTATTTCTTCTTCTAGATACTAAAAGTAATAGAAAATTGTTTAAGAACAAAATCTTTATGATTGCTGTTTATCGAAAATGGAAAATAGAAAAATTCCAAAAGAAATAAAGACACAAATGTATAATAAATAAATAGACTTTGGAATCATTTGATCGTGAACGAAAATCAGCGTAATCAATTATTGGCAAATAAAAATATGTATGTACATTTGTATGTATGTATCAATATTTTTATTTCTTATATGAGCAATTATTATTTTATTTAGTTTGTTCTTTTATTCCTTTTGCCCCCTTTTTACTTTTGTTAGTTTAACAATTTGATTTGATTACTCAGTTAGTTAGGAGCTGGGGCAAAAAAAAAAAATGGAAAAACTTTAATTTTCTTTATACACATTCGCATAAAAACAGATTAATGATGGTTAAATATTTGTTTAACGCAATTTAATACGAATCAGTTGCGACTTGTCAAATAAAACAAGAAAAGCAGCAACAGCAGAATCTGCACAGCAATCTCCTTATCAGATCAGATTAGCACAGACTGGTAGTAGAACTAGTGGTAAATAAATATTTAGAGCAGATACATTTTCTCGTTACTTAAGTTGCCTGCTACCAAATACAGCTCAGCTCGTTCGTTGGTTGTTTTCTTTTTTTTATGTATTTAGGGTAACTTTGCTTACGAAATGAAACAGTTTCATTAGGGCAACTGTTTATGGAAGTGTATTAAAATTAGTCATTTGTACATGATACTACCCCAAATTAGAACTTAGCACAAGAAAAAAAGAATGAAGAGTATTATAATAAAAATAATACAAAAAAATAGCAACAAAACGTAATGATTAAGAAACTTGGCCAATAATTTATTTTAATGGGCTTTAATAAAATAATAATTTGCATTAAATTTGTATAAATGTCGCATTATTTCATTTCGTTTCATTTACTTTTGTTTATTTTGTAATTTTACAGGAATATAAAAAAAGTTTATTTTCAAATTAAACTAAATCGAAATTAATGTTACTCATACGCCACCAATGAATGGTGGGAAATAAAGAATCTAATTGTGGTTTGTTGCTGTTTTATTTGTTGTAAAAATTTACAGCTGGCCACAGAATTTTCGTCCATAATAACAAGCTGTGAAATTTGTTTATTTGTTGATATCATAAAAACAACAATTAAAAAAACAAGTGAAAGTTTCACCATGTTTTGGTTTGTTATACTTCCTGTAACTTTGAAAAATATTTGCAAAATAATGAAAATTTGGTTTTACTTATCTTTTGGATACAAAATCTTGTTAAGTAAATTAATTATGATTTGCTTATCTTTTAGGGGAATTGATTATTTTTTAATTTTCAAATACTTGAAACTAATATAGTTTTGTTATACAAATTTTTAAAATATATAATTTACATATAATTATAACATAAAATCTGTTTATATTAGTTTATATCAATTGCTATAATCGACAAAAATCTCTAGATAATATGAAAATTTTCTCATTACCTTAATTTTGTGTTTATTGTTTTAAAAACTTCATTATAAATTGTTTAAAATCTTCTACCGTATTAAAATCCGTTTGCTTGTTATTAAGGTGGCTCAGCCAAAAGAATTTTTAAATAAATCACGAAAAAACTAATGACTTTTGAAAGTTTTTATTTGACACGTAATGTTAGTTTATATATGCCGAAAACATAATAAGACTGCAAATAAAAGTACAAAAGTATGTATGTATATGGGAAAATTTAAAATTAACAACACCACTTTCCAAAACCCTTTTGGGATTTTGTTCTACTAACTGTGTACTTTCTATGATATCATTGGCGGAAGATTTTTTTTACAGTATAACAAGTAGTAGATAGTGGTCGATCGAACACTTACAGTATAACAAGTAGTAGATAGTGGTCGATCGAACACTTACATAAATTGTTGCTAATTATTTTAAAACTCGTCCGTAGCACTTTGCGGCCGGAACAGTACAGGGTATTAGATCACAGTCTCACAGAGGTATATAGTGAAATGCGTGTCAAGTGACCCAACTTTAAAAATCGATGTCTTCCGATTTAGAATTTGCTCCAAGGTTAGTATTGTGGGATAGTAGGCCATACACAAATTTTCAACTCTGTCGGTTAAGAATTGCCGGAGTCAGAGGGGGTTAAAGTTGGACATTTTGGTCATAGAGGGATTTATTCAAATGAGTGAAACTTTTCACCTATTGATCCTAGAATGAAGAAATAGCTATCTGAACTCCTTTGGACCAAAATGTCCAAATTTGAGCCCCTCTAATTCCGGCAGTTCTTGACCGATAGAGCTGAAAATTTGTGTCTGAGCTACTAACCTTAGTGCAAATTTCATCAAAATCGATTTTTTGAGTTGGGTCAGTTCACATGAAACAGCCCATATACATTCTGGGTTCTTGTAAGGTTCTAAGATGATCTAAATATGTCCGTCCTTCTGTCTTAAATCACGATAGGGTCTGAACTGAAGGAGCTAGGGTAGTATTTAGAACGTTGATGCTATTTATTTGGCAGTGAAAATATACAATATCTGTCCAAGATTTCCCCATACCCACATAAATATGTTAATTACATATAGATTACGGTTGCAAGTTAGTTGTGTGCACCCGTAAATTGTATTGTACAAGAGTGTATAGCGGACATAGAGAAATATCTTACAAAAAAAAACAGTATAAGCATGAAAATCGATACATAGAAGTTGTATAGGAACCAAAATCTCTCTACCAAATTTCATGAGGATCGGTTGATAGTCCACTCATACAGAAAATCTGTTTATTATCAATAAATCATTCAAAAATCATAGGATATGAATAATACTCATCAAAACTTATTTGCCAACCATTGAATGAGTCCCATTGCGAAAATCAGACTAATGTTCCTAATAATATCAACACTTGATAGCAAAATTCAGAATAATTATAATAAATGATTAGATTTTAGTAAAACATAACAAAAGTATCGATCATTAAAGACATTAATCCATGCATAAGATAAACTTCCTAAATATATGCTTTGATGGCGGGAATATATGATAGGTCTTAATCGAATATTATATTCTTACTTGTGTCAATAAACTATCACTGTTGGAAAGTAAATTTATTTAAGAATAAAGAATGATATTTTATTTGATATTGTACCAGTCTACTGTACAGATACATATACATACATATATCTACAAACATTAGTATTATTTAACTGAATACATTATACAACAAACATACATACCTGTTGATATATTTTGTATTTCAATTGTTGTTTTGTTTGTGTAAAATAATAATATTGCTGCAAAAGGGTATTAATACACTATTTAAAATGTATTGAATAATTTAATATGAACATTTTCCAAAAGGATTAACATCACAAAACAAACGCTGAAAATATACAAAATGTAAAAAAGAGTGTAAACCAACAACCACTAGTAAATGTAGTCAGTATATATTGAATAAAACTTATGCATATTTGAAAATATGTACATATACCAGAGTTGGAAAATTTAATATTATGATACATTTATCCCAAATATTATTGGATGAAGACAAAGTATATGCAAATTAAGAATAACTCAGTTTTTCCAAATAGACTACTACTTTAGTTTTAGTTCTTTTTCCATTTCTGATAACTACACATGAACATACTTTTGGTTACATTTACAGTATAAAGAGTTAAAAGTGTTCATTTATATTCACATTCATACAAAACAAATCGACAGAGTCAGTGTAAATTTGAAATTCATAAAAATGAAAAATTGTTGTGAAAATGGTTTAAAGTGTAAATGGATGTAAGTAATATAGACACAAATGCACTCACACATGTTGCAATTGTAGCATTTATGACTTCTCCTATATTGCATACCACACCATATTTACAGAGAATAAAATTCGAAAATACCTCGATCATGTTGCACGCTAAATTTCTCGTACATACATTTTTATACATATGTATATGCAATCTATAAATTATAAAAGCTTATTGTAATAAGAATTAAGCAATTCAACATTAATGACAGATTTGCTTTATAAAACAAAATCTACTTTTAAAAAGTTTTATTTTATCGAAGTTAAGGAAAAATATATTTTTAAAAATCACGTTAAAAATTAACACAAATTTACCAAAGTGTAGGGCAGAGATACAAGCCGATGCAAATTGATCGGCGGCGGCGGCGCAACCATTTTAGGTCGGCGGCTTATATTAGAAAATATCGGCGGCGGCTAAATTGTCGGCTCAATTTAACGTTTTCTTCAGAAATTGACCTTATAAGCGTTTATTATATTGAAAAATCTCTGTATAATAGTATGTTATATAGAAACCTGTCTCTATATAAGTTTTTTCTTTAGAAAATGGACATTATTATAGTAGTTATCACTATTTTAATATTAGCACAATATTGTCTTTTGAATTTGCCATAAGAATTTAAAATAGTGGCAACTCTGTTCGAATTGGTGACTATACCCCTACACTGTAGGGTATAGTCAAAAAAGTATTAAGACACATTTTAAATTTATGGCAAATTGAAATTTTGATGTTTTTCTTTCTGTTTATTGTTCCGTTTCATTCACTAAAATAAACATTATATCCGCTTCCGTTTGTACTAAATCAAAACACCTTTTTCGATCGTAAATGTTGGTAAATTTATGGTAAAATAAAAAATTATTGAATAAAAATAAAAGGAAATTTATTTCAATTCATGTTCGTAATAATAACGTTATTAGAATTTGATTTAATATTTATTTAAATTGTTTTTATTATCATTCGTATATGAAATTGAACTTTTAAACGGGAAAATGGTGTCAATTGTATTCTCCTGTTAGAAGGACGTGCCACCATATTATTAGTGAGCAGTATTGAAACTAAATGAGGACATTTAGTTCTAATACGTGTTAGTTTTGTATAAACTCAAATAACACCAACTTATACACAGAGGGAAAAAAGACGTTTTAACATTATAACCGCTTGGTACCAAATTGACACCCAAATGTTTATAATTTTTCAATAACATCCGTTGTCAAAGTATGTACGGATTGTTGTCATATCAATAAAAAATGCACGGCGTTATCAAATCAACAAAAAAATAATAATGTGTTATAAAGTGACAACGCTATGTTGTCGAAAAAACAACGAATCGTTGTCGAAATCACAACGATGCATTGCCGAAATGACACAAAACGTAATCGAAATAACAACAATGTGTTGTTGCAATGACAACGATGCGTTACCAAAATTACAACGGTTGTTGTCAAAATGATAACTGGGTGTTATTTAAATTTTATACACATCCGTTGTATAAATGTTAACAAACGTGGTAAGCTCACTTTGACAATGGTTTGTTTCAATCCTCTCTATGTAATACTAATTAATCCCAATTTATGCACTCAACCTTCTTTTAGTTTCATAATAGAGGTGCCATGCTATTAAAATTTTTTTAAAATATAACATATTAATTTATTAACACGAAAAATAAACCCTGATAATCATACCTACATATTGATACATATTTATTTTGACACATATTGTGTTAAATGAAGTCAACAGTATAAATTTATAAAAGTTCATTGTTAATATTTCTTGTGCATTTTTACACTATTAATTATTTAAATACTTGTGTGTATTTTAAATTAAAGTGTGTACACAAGAATAATAGATCAAAAATGAATTGAAATTAAAATGTTATGAGAACATGAGTTCCCAAATTGTTATTTCAAAGTACCCTCAATTCACATCAGCCAGACAAACGAAGGGTAATAAAAAGTGAAGTAAAGTTATTTCGGAAAAAACAGGCCTATCACTTCAAATTTTTTCCATATTTCAGAAAAGAAAAACGAAAGTTCCTCTCAGAAGGAAACTGCTTTCATTCATTTGTTGTCACATATTAATGGTTTTTGTTCCTTTTTCGTAATGTTTGGGAACCACTGCTATTTAATTTAGCATGTCAGTGTAAATAATCTTTAATATTCGTATTGATTTTAATGTTGATTATATTTTGCCACTTGCTTATCAAGTGTGTGCAAATAATTTAATTTATAAGTTCATTTTAACAACAATTATACAATATTTATAAGAGTATAATAAAAGAGAAGAGAAAACAGTGAATGTATATGCGAAAAAGTTTTTGCCGATATGTAAATAAAAAGAATCACTCCCCCATTGAAACATACATATTTAAAATGGAAAATTTGGTGGCATAACACAAACAATATTTGATAAGAAAATTATAATGTATTTGAAATATTTGAATTTTTTTCATAATTACAATTAAAGATCACTTGCCTTATCAAACATTTTATTAGTTGAGGTCAAAGGAAAAAGCTCACGCCATTATATGGTTTATCGGTGAGTCGAACGGCATGTTTGCATTATCAGGGACCACCAGCAGACTTGACGAAAATAATTTATACAATATGTTTTGATTTTAAAATAAAAAAAAAACTAAAATTGTGTCTATAAAAAATAAACTTTTTTTCCACCTACAGGTTTCTTTTTCTACTATTCACCTTCGTGAAAAGGTTATATATAGTTTGTTATTCCAATTGCAATAGAGACATCACTTGTCTCTATTGCAATTATTGAACTCATTTCTGTTTTAAATAAAAAAGATTAAAAAACAATTTAGAGTATTATATTCAACTATGCCGAATCTTAAATACCCTTCACCTATAAGTTATTTTTTTTACATTTTATTAATTTTGAAAGCTTAAAATGGTTTTGATGACGACAATTACACAGAATTGAATTCTGTAAGTTGCACTTTATAGAATTTTGGAAGTGGATCTTATATGGGAGCTACGACCAATTATGGTTATTAACTGATTTGCGGAAGCTATGACCAGTTATAGGCAGATTGGAATCCAATTTCTCTCAACGATTTGTTTACATATTAGGGCGATCGACTAGGGTTTTCAACCGGTTTTAAAACCGTTTTTTTTTTCATTTTACTACTGTCGGGTTTTTCGAATTATTTATTTATCAAATAACCCGGTTTTTTTATTTCGAAAAAAACTGGTTTCGAATACTTTTATTTGTTTTGAATTAATAAAACCGTTTTTTTCTGTATTTAAAACCCGTTTTTTCTGAATTTGAAAAATATTATCCGGTTTTTTCAAATGACAACTATTCGAAAACCGGCTTTAGGAAAATGTCGAATAATCGATCACCCTATTACATACGAAACAAATAACTGTTACATTTTTCCTGGTTATTTGTTAATGAATTATGTGCGTTTAACTAGTTTTCAGAGGTGGGCCTTAAATGGAAGATATGGACAAATCCGATCCGGAATGATTTTTATATATAAAAAATATTAATTGATTGTTCTTTTGAAGTGAACCTTGTACGGGAGCTATTACCAATTATGGGCCGATCCGGGAAAAATAATCTGAATAGTTAATGCTCATTTTGTAGAATTTCGGAAGTGGACCTTATATGGGAGTTATGATCAATTATGAAGCGATGCAAGTTTAAGTAGGTAATACGATATCTATTAATGTTAGATTAATGTATATGTGCAAAATTCTGCAGTAATACCGATATTACAGAAGGGCTTACAATTAAGAGATTTTGCGAGAATATGTACATTTGTATAGGGGCTATATGAAATTATGAACTGATTTTAATAATTTTTACCGGACCTAGCCCCTGGATGAATAAAGAGAACTGTGAGAAATCGAATTAAAAACTATCATAATTCTTGATTAATATTTCCATGCGTTGTTTCGGAATTTATCCGTTATTTATGGACTGATTTTAAACGAAAACATGGCTGATAGACTATTGAGACCTTAAAAAAATTAACTTCAACATACCTTCGGACAGGCAGCGGTTAATCGATTCCACTATCTGTAAGGATTTAGATTCTAAATTCTAAATTTTAGAATTTATACATACATATGTATGTATATACGGAAACTTATATTATAGAAATTACAAACGGAATGACAAACTTACATATATATATACCTTTTTCACGAAGGTGAGCGGTATAATAAATACGTAAATGATAATGATATATTTAATCTTTGTTTATATTTTTAAATTTTTGGATTAAGCGTCTTATCAATTAGGAATTATTTTATATATCGAGGGACTATATTCAATAGTCCCTATCTAAAATAATACAAGTTTTCAGAGTTATATGGTTAAACACGACAATAAAATTGATTTAATTAGTATCATAATGAGCGATATCTCAAAAACTATTAGACCGATTTTAAATATTTTGACGGATTTGTGTTCAGCATGTCCAAATTATTAAGAAGACTTGTTTTGCAACAGAAAATCATCCAAAGGGATAGAGTTTGAAGCAATTTTTGGATAAGATAGAGAGTTTTGCATTCAGAATTTTTCTTTTTTTAAGATAGAGAAATTTAAAAAAAGCTATAAAATTGCCAAAAAATATTTTTTTTTCTTTGAAATTTATATCACTGATGCGGGATAGTTTGCTGAATATTTTGCCATCAAAATCTCATTTTCATGAAAATGACAGATAGCGACTATTGAATATAGTCCCTCGATATATTTGTTGTAGTTTTTGTTTTTATTAGGGTCTAAAGTTCAAATGATTAATTTAGTAAGAAAACACTAAGGTAAATATTTGATTCAATCACTTTCCATTACTATTATCGCCAAAGAAGTTTGATATTTGAAAATGGAATGCAAATATTTTAGTCTAAATATTGAGAAATACTAAATAATATAAAATCTTATTAAATGTACACTAAATAACGATTACTCAGACGTGTAACAAATTTTTTTGAAAGGATTTATTGGCAGTATTTGTTCAAGCGTTAAAAAATTAATGCGAAATAAAGGTGAAACGAAGTTCTAAAACCAGATTTTATTTATTCTACAAAAATATTTGAACTAAAAATTAAACGAAGTTAAATTGTTGGTAAATTGCTCATAAATATAAATTTGTAAATTGTATCAATTAGGAATGAATTAAATAAAATAAAAAAGAAGGTTCTATATAAATGTAATGCATTCATTAACAACATATAAAACTCCAATCAAAGTCCAATAAACGAAAATGAACTTTAACAAATCAATAAGAAATAAATGTTTGTTTATTTAGTATTACAGTAAATGATTGACTGGGCTGAGTTATTGGATGGTCTGGTGTTTCTGACTTTCTAGAACAAACTTATGGATACTTGTAATCAACATCAGCAACAGCAATGAGAAGAAAAAATAATGGCAACAAATTAGATTCATTTAAATGAAAATTGATAGTGCAAATAATCAAGTATGAAAACAAACAAAAATACTCAAGAAAAAATAATAGTAGAAATATAATCACGATGGAAAATAAATACAAAAATGATCAAATAAAAATAAAAAGCAACAGTATGAAAGAAAAACAAAACAGCTTAATCTCTAAATCCAAATAGTTAGTGCTAGAACAGTAAATAAACTACATACATACGTACGAGTTTCAGTTCAATTATTTATTGTAAATATTAACACTACTACTGCATTTGTACAGTAAGTACAAACAGCAACAACTAGAACAAAATAATAATTGACTGACTCGGTTACAATGAATGAAGGTTTTCGCATGTCTATAGTAGCTACACTGTTTCCATTATTTTTACACAACTAAACATTTTCGCGGAAAACAACTTTTGTAACTTTTGCAATAGTTTATATTTTTGTCACATATCCATAATATTAAAATTAAAAAACCTTAATTCAAAATATACTTTTCAACATTAGTCTTTGAGTTTGTTTGTGATGTGAAAGTAGCTTCTAATCTTGTAGAACCAGTTATCTATTGAGAGTCGTGTGAAGAGTCTTATGAATATGCATTTTTTGTTTTTGTTAAAACATTCAAAAGAAAATTAACCAAAAGTCTTTGAACTTTAATATAATTTACATATTTTTTTGAACTCATAAAACGATTTAGTATTCAAAATTAATTTTCATTTATACTGTTTTATATTGAGGGTATTCATTTAAAAGATTTTTTTAAGATCTGCTATAGTTTAATTAAATGTCAAAATAATATAGTTTTTATTCTATTGGATGATAAAATTTCTTAACGTTCGACTTAAAGAATGCCATAAATTGCATATAAAAAGGGTTTTAGATATTCCCTAATTGTAAAATTTTCTTTTAATTTGAAAACTTAAATTGGAAATGGTGTGAGAAAATTTTTAATTTATAAATTAACAAACAGTGTGTAGTCATCTTATACTGTGTTTATTGTCTCAAGTTTGAATGTAATTTTTATTTACAAAATTAAATCAATTAAAAATAATTTCAACTCAAATACTAACTTAAAATGTCTGGCGGCATTTGAAGGCTTATTTAAATTATTAACAGCTAATATAATTTAACCGAGAGATGCTAAATAAAGTAATGGATAACAAACAAATGCATTTAAATGTTTGATTATATACAGGCCTTTCACAGAAATTCATTCCTATCGAAAGTTTAGTTTGAAATATTAAAGTTAAATTAATAATACAGCTAACAATAAATTATAATTTTTTTTCAGTTAGCCTTATTCTACACCATTTCCAATTATGTATATTTTAAAACTTTAAAATAGTATATCAGAACTCTATTTGTATATCTAATAATATATCATAAAATTTCTCTTGTATTTCAGAATTTTTCATTTGTATTTAAAAAATTTCCATTTGTAATTCAGAAATTTCCATTAGTTTTTTAGAAATTTCATATGAAAATTCTATTAAAAATTTCTGTAACACAATCGGAAATTTTTGAATACAATTTGAAAGTTCTGAAATGGTGTTGTACTTTCCAGATTAAGAGGTTTACAGTAAATCATAAAGATAAAGTCATAATAATCTACTAAACCAAAGAAAAATGTAAAATTAATGTAAACAATTTTTCGTTTAGGCTAACTATTCCTCTCAACAAACGAATGAAATTAATTTAAAATAATTTAATCAGAACCAAATTTTACAAAGATTTTTTTTTATAAAACTAAACCGTCTTTTAGTATAAAACCTAAAAGATTTGAAATTGTCGCTATAAACAGTGTACTCAAGTATTTGATTGAGATTTTGCACTATTTCTGTATAAATTGTTCAATTAAGTTAATGAAATTAATTTATTTCTTTGCAAATATCTTAATACAAAACAAGTAGAGGTAGGTTCGGTGCAAATAAAATAGTCAAATAAACTCAAAATTAAATACAACACATACATACATACATACATAATACAAAGAACAAAAAACACAATTGATTTTAAATGTTAACTTTTTTAAATATTTTTTATTATTGGAATTTCACTTTAACAATTAACACATCGACTATATATTATTATTGTATTGTATGCACTGGTTGGTTGGTTGGTTGGTTAGTTATTTCATTATAATGGGAGGTGATTGATCGTTTAATTTCTTAATTATCATCACAGACCAGAACTTTTGGCATCTTTACCTTGTACGAAAGTTTGATAGGATTTGTTCAATTGCTCCAAGAAAATAAATGTCAAAACTGTGTGTGGTCCCAGACGGCAGTAGTAGGGAGTAAAGCCCTTCCACAGGGCAAATACACCCTCTTGGCGAGCTACTCTAGCCAATACATCGAAAGTGCCACGATATTCTGGTTTGCCATCGACATATTTCTGGTTTTGAATACGTGTCTTGGCAATATCCAAAGGCATAGAGGTAATTGTTGTCAGCAAACCAGACAACATACTGGCGCAGAAGTGCAATTTGATACCTTCCTCCATTTGCAAAGGACCGGTACGGAAGTATGTCTTGAATTGTGAGTACGAGGCAAGCTGGGTCATATTGACAACCATAGCACGACCCACAGTGGGTAAACTACCACGCCATAAAGTGGCCAAACCTTCTTCGGTGGTAATACGGGTCAAGGCGTTAAAAACGTTCTTGTAGTTACGTCTTTCAGCCAAAGGAAGACGTCCATCGGAAGCCATACGCACTAGAGCTACTTCGGCAGGTGTACCAATGAAGGCACCACAGGCACCGGCAATCACACCCATCAACATACTGGCCGACACATTGGGATCCTTGTTAAAGTGTGCTCTGTAGGCATCATTGAGATAAGAGTAGACACCCAGACGACCTGTTGTATAAGTGGCCTGACGTAATAGAGCAGCGCCAATACCTTGATAAAGACCTAGTGGACCTTCTTTGCTCACCACTGTCTGTATACAATGGAATGAATTGCGGAATTCTTTCTTTCCACTGCCAGCTCCAGAAATTTGCATACGTGTCTTGATTAAATCAAATGGTTGCACAATCATGGTAGCACCCATACCGGCCGCACCGCCAAATACAAATTTCAAACCATTTGGTATGTTTTTCTTTGGTTGCTGTTGTTGTTGGGGTTGTTTTTCTTGTTGTTGATTAGACATATTGGCGCCTCTTAGTTAATTTCCCTTGTAATGTGCTGTAATTTTTTTCTTTTCACCTTATTTCCTCTAAATTCAGTCTGCTGCAGTTGCTTTTTTGTTATTGTCGTTGTTTATTAGTAAAAAATATTTTCACTACAGCTTGTTATAAACTCTACAATTACAAATATACAGGCAAATGTAAACAAATTGTAAAATTAACAAAATTTTGCAACAAATCGATTGGCAAAAAAACACAAGGCACTGACTGACTGACGACTACTACACGGCTGAACTTGAATGTATGGTTAAGTTAAATACAAATTCAACGTTGTTGTTGTAGCCCCAGTCACATTAAGTCATATGTTCAGTTACCACTTACCCACACCCCACTACCCGATATAATGTATGGAATCCAAAAACAAAACCAAAACGAACGAAGGCACGTACCAAACAACGTATGTTATATTTGCGCAAGCCAAAAACTAAACTGTCACGATGGACGAAGAGTATCGTACTGAATGTATATTTCTATAAAAGCTCTCATCGTCTCAGTACAGTGGAATGAATAAATTTATTCAAATTCTCACTTTTAAACAACTGGCAGGCGGCATAACAACAAAATCGACAACAAATACAATTTAAACATTTTACTTTTTCGCTGTCTGTCTACGTCACGATTTCACTAAAATTAGAATGCCCCAATGCTGCTCCCCGAAAAATTAAAGAAAACAACAATAACAACTGAAAGAGAAACTCAACTGATCACAAATTGTGACTAAATTCCAGCAAAATGAACTGACATTTAACAGCTGATCACTGAAAACAATCTGTTGTTGTCACGAGACAAGAGAACAACAAAAATTTTAAGAGAATAGCAAAGAATGTTTACAAAAAAAATTGAGACACAAAAATTTACATTGCGGAAATTTCTAATTTCATCGTAACCTTGACAATAAACTACATACTTACTTGTCGTATTTAGACGCCTTTTTTAGTTTTCATGTTGTTTGTGTACCTACATATATCTTTTAAAACAATTTATTTATTTTATGATTCATAAATACGCACATGAATATTTGAATTTGTTATAATTTTTTGATAACGCGTCATATTTATAGCAACAAAATCACTGTAATATCTTTCTCTTTGCAATAAAATATTAACTGTGTTTACACAGCTCTCTTTTACTAGTTAATTTCACAAAAATTCCATTCATTTGTCCAGCCGCCAAAAAACTTATCATTTTTATGAATATTACTATTTCGATTTTTCTGATTTTTATTTGTTTATAATGTCGTATTATTTAATATTTTTTATAACTACTGTATGTCATGCTTGCGCATTTAATATTTTTGATTTTGTTCTTATCACTTGTTTAATTTTTGCAATTTGTTATTTTGCCGCTCATTTAACTAGTGACGTTTGTTTATTTTTTGTAAACATTCCTGTAAACTCTCTTAAATGTTTTCAATTTGACAAATGTTTTTGTGACAACTGGTTTTAAAGCATGGTTGTAAAAAATAGTATGTTAGTTACGTATTTGTTAATAGTAGTAGGAATATTGATTGCAATTGAGTTTTTTGAACAATTATTATATTAAATACGAGAGATATAAACAAATAAAATTTATAAAAAATTATTTTCTTCCTATAAATATGTTTTTAGATTTTTATAAAAAACTATATTTTTATAAAAATTTTAGATTATTGGGAACAAATTAAAACTTTTGTATAAAAAATATTACATTTTTTAAAAGAACAAAGTTCAAAAGTTCATTCTGCTCTAAAATTAAATCTTCTATATTTTCGCTAAATAATAAATAAATGTATAAGGATAGGACCATATTAACCCATGGCTCTCATCTAACCCCTCATTTAGAAAATCCCTTTTTTGTCAACAAAAATATTTCTGAATTAAGGTAAAAACGAAATGAAATACTTTTTTATTAAAATTTTTATATTATCAAATTTTTTACATAATCACTGGTGTAGGGTATGACATGGTCGGACACGATTGCCTATAAATTCTTACTTGTTTTAAGTAAATTTTCATTACACGGTTAATTGAAACAAATTAATCGCAGTATTGAAAAAATAAATTGATGAAGAGTAACACAACACGGTGTGACAAAATAATCGAAAATAGAAATAGCTGGGAAGTGATACTATTTTTCTGAAAGGTAGAACAAGAATCTATTTTTGAATTTTGACAAACACCTCCAAAGTCTTGAGATACGGGTAAAAACCGGTTATTTGTACCTTTAAGCACTTATAAATCAGTAACTTAGTTGAATCTGAACCGATTTTAAGTTTCTCAACGGATTTAGAAAGCCGAAGCTAAGGCCTTTATAATGACATATACGATGTTTAGAGAAATACGTGTGCATTTCATAGGCAAATATGATTTTGATTTTACTTGTGGGATAGGGTTAAACGTGGGCCGATCCTCATAAAATTTTTTGGAACTATTTATGTTTATATAAATGCTGTTTATGCTGAATTTCATCGTGATTTATACAGATCTGGACATTTATCACCACTTCAAAAGTAGCAATTAGTGAATTTTTTAACTTCTGTGGAAGTGATGTTTAATGACTTCTGAAGATATTTTTTTTTTTTTTTTTTTGTTCTTACATTTCTGTGAGATTATAAATTTTATTTTTATGCTTCTGTTTTAAATGTATATATTAAACCTTATTAATGTTAATATTATTTAAGTCAAATTAGTTGTATTCCATAATAATACAATTTCACTTCCGAATAACTTCCAAAAACAAAAGCATAAAAATTACTTCTTAAGAATGACTTCAGAAGTAATGAATTTGGAATCAAATAAAAAGGACATCCCTTCTATGACAAGCCTGTGTTTAAATCATCATTTCTTCAGGTCTTTTTCTGTATTTCCATGGAGTAAATTATATTTCTTTTTCGCTTCTTTGGAAGTTCTTTTTTTGCTGGGTAGTGTCGCTTAATCGAACCACGGTTAATCGATTGAATAGCCTAAAGAATATCAACATTCAGCTCTGGATGGATAAAGAACGTCGAGCGTCATTGTCATTGTAATCAGAACTTCATTTTTTGGGCGATGTGGCTTTCTATACAAAGGTTTGTTTCAGTATTTTATGGACGAGACTCCATGGATTGTCACTATGCTATTTTATGCTGTGCCACATAAGCTTTAAATCACCAAAAAAAAATTATATCTACTGTCGGGTATATAAGAATCGTCATAATATCCAAAATATTTTATCAATTTATAGTATATAGTATAGTTATATTCTGTAACGTAAATACATATCGCTCATTTACTACAATACCTTCATAAATCAAAAAACTCCGTTTTGTGTAAAACACCATTGTATGTTTTATGATATTTTCTACTTTTTAAATAACTTTCAAAACACGGATTTGAAAAAAACTTAATATGTATATAAAGAAGTTGTTAATATAATATTTCTCATCAAAAATTCACCCCTATTCTGCATTTCAATTCGAATCGAAATTTTCTTCGTTTGGCAACTTTGGTATTCTGCGTTTCGATACGACTCTCCGCCACATAAACAACAACTTACAAAAACACAATCGTAAAACATTAAAATAAAATGGAATTGCTTCTCCTTTTTCTTCCGATTCCGTTTTTTGTGGGAATACCAATTTTCGATCGTAGCGTAACTGAATGCGGAAACGTAATCGAAATGCAGAATAGGGGGGATTAACAAAATTATTACTTAACAAATATGTATATATACGTGAAAACTTGGTTTTTAGTTTTGACGTTTACAAAAAAAAATCACACGCGCTCCGAAAATAATAGACATTTTTGAAAATAGACGAACTAGTTGAAAGACCCAGTTCAAAAAACCCATATTATGGATTATGCCAGTCTTATAGTAAATGAGGGATACATATTTATTTTATTTGCATTCTACAGTGTACAGTATCATTTGTTAAGGATATTCAATTTTGTTTTTTGCACTTAAATGCATTTGTTTGAAAAACGTGCAGGAATTTTTTTAGTCTTCTTTTTAAACGATTTTAGTTTTTTCACATTAATTCTTTAAGTTGATTGTTCTAAAGCGTATAAAAAAATCCTTGCGATTGAAAAAATCTGAAGTTTATCAAACTTAACAGAGAAACAAAAATGTTAGAAACATAAAAGAAAAAAAAAAAAAGAACTCTTTGTTATTTCCAAGGACTTTATTCGAAAGAATGTCAAGTTCTTATTCGAATAGAGGGTTAATATTTACAATAACAACTGCGTTTGTAAATTGGACAGTTTGGAAGGAAAAGGATAAAATAAACAAATAATAGAAAAAGCATTTGTCATTTCAGACAATCATGACAGATAGTTTGCAGTCATAATGATGCATTTCGGAATGATGATGACATGGTGTTGATGATGGTTATTTTATGTCTATGAATAATTAATATTCTTTAATAAAATAATGTAACTGTAATGGAATCTGCTGTTTATTATTATTTTTCAAAAAAAAAAAAATAAAGACTTACAACACCCCCCCCCCCCAGTTTTTTAAAATTTTTCTGACTATTTACATTTTTTAAATGACATCATTTTAATAAAAACATTGTGAATTTTGAGATAGGAAATATGGATATTTATCAATATTATGCAATACAATTCGATATACAGCTGTGGTCAGCTAATTGGAAACGTTCTCTTTATATTACAGCTTGACATGATTTGTATAATATTATGAAAATATTATGTTAGATTTTCAGTTCGAAACTCATGTATTTTATAAATTGATGTTGTTATAATAAAATGAAATGCATTTTGTTGTGGAACATTTCTTAATTCCTTTTCAATTTTGAATTTGATGAAAATCGCCCAAAGATACATCAAAGAAATTGCGACAACTAATTGGAAACGACCATTTTTTATTAAAATTTTTTTAAATTAAATCTAATTTTGATAAAAAATTTAATTGTACTTTGGTAAATATTATTATTAATTTAATTTATAAGAAATTTTACATCATTATTTTTAGGACTAATAATGAAAATAGAACAAAGAAATATTCCTTCCCTGGGTAGATCCATTTTTGAACTTCATAAAGCTTGTAAATCGTAAAAAGATATAGGAGAACAGCCCTTTTGTTCAAAAACATATATTTTTGATCGTTTATAGCATTTTAAGAAATATGACACTGATACTAACGCTCTACGTCAAAAATTTTCCAGAAAAACATCAGCCCACCCCCAAACAGGATGATAATACGAATCTCTAAAGCTGGCCCAAAGGAATCATCCACGGGCATCCAGCGGTAAATTTGAGAAAAATTAGATATAACGTTATCTTAGCCAACTATTTCACGATCTTTGGTGGAATCGGGGCATATTGGAAGAGAATCGCGAAGGAAACCTTTAGCAGCTAAAGTTTAAAGAATTTGCCATATCTCATTCGAAAATCTGCCACACCTTTTACCATTTATTGTACCTTGTATATTGAGGTATAATACGATTAATCTCTGTTTCAAAGCTCCGAAGTAAATAATTCCACTGATTAACCGTCTAATTTTGATAAGATCAGGTCAATTCAACACGATATTTCATATACAAGAGATATTGCAAATTCTTTGAATTTTAGTTGGAAAAGGTTTCTTCCGCCCTTTCTCAAGATGCCCCGATTCCGTCAAAAATCGCGAAATAGTTGGCTTAGATAACGTTATATCTAATTTTTCTCAAATTTACCGCTGGATGCCCGTGGATGATTCCTTTGGGCCAGCTTTAGAGATTTGTCTTATTATCCGGTTTGGGATGGGCTGATATTTTTTCGGAAAATTTTTCACGTGGAGCGTTAGTATCAGTGTCATATTTCTTAAAATGCTATAAACGATTAAAAATATATTTTTTTGAACAATAGGGCTCTTCTCCTATATCCTTTTAAGATTTACAAGCTTTATGGTGTTCAAAAATAGATCTACCCAAGGAAAGAGAATTTCTTTGGCCTATTTTCATTCTTAGCCTAAAAATAATGATGTAAAATTTCTTATAAATTAGAAACAATATATACCCAAATGCAATTATATTTTTTATCAAAATTAGATTTAACTTAAAAAAAATTTTAATAAAATATGGCCGTTTCCAATTAGTTGTCGCAATTTCTTTGATTTAGCTTTGGGCGATTTTCACCAAATTTAAAATTGAAAAGTAAATAAGAAATGTTCCACAACAAAATGCATTCCATTTTATTATAACAACATCAATTTATAAAATACATGTGTTTCGAACAAAAAATCTAACGTAATATTTTCATAATTTTATACAAATCACGTCAAGCAGTAATATAACGAGAGCGTTTCCAATTAGCTGACCACAGCTGTACATGAGTAACCTATTGCATGAGTAACTCTATTTGCTACACACAATGAGTGACTCATTGCTTTGCACTCAACTCATTGTTTGTTTA